TCTGATGTATTTTCTTATGCCTCCCTACCTTCTTCTTTGGATTTCCTTATTTCTTTCTGTTCCAATAAAGCCTTCATGGAAAACATTTGAAAGGTTGATAGTACCTAGTATTGACACGTAGATGGGAAAACCTCATTAATCTCTGGTGGGAATTTTAAGTGGTGCATCCCACCTGGAAGGCAATTGGCAATATCTGTGACAAACTTAAATAGGCGAATCCAGTCTCAACAGTTTCAGTTCATGAAACTAATACCACAGAAATACTCTCACAGTTGTGCAAAGATGTATGTGCAAGGCTGTTTGTGCTCATTATGTGACAGCTCTCATCCTTCTATTCCTTGTCTTATTTCAGAACAACCTTATGAATATTATTATTGTTCCTATTTTCAGGTAAGGCTTTGCAAAATATTTACAAACCTTGCCCCAGTACCATACAGCTAATGAGTAGCCAAGCTGAGATGGAAACCCAGATCTGTTTCACTCGTAGGCTCCCCAGTATAATTGCATTTTTGCAGGAAATATGAAGAAAGTATATGTACGCGTTGATATTAGCGCAATATGGAGGAAATAAAGGTTTGCTTGGTGAACTTCATCTTTCTAGACTGCCCAGGTGTTTAACTTCTCTCCTTCCATCCCAGGCAGAGTTAACCACCCCTTCTGGGGCGCTTCCAGAGCCACTTGTGCACACACCAAACACGCCTCACCAACCTCCATCTTAAACATTAGTTTTTATGTTTGCACCACTATTACCATGTTTTGTCCTTGGGGGCTGAGTCTGGCTTATTTGGTTTTATACCCCAATTCTTGGCATACTGTAGATAGATGCTCTCAGAACATTTGTTGAAAACCTATGAGGGTGTCATACACACTGAGCCAAGGGTCAGGGGGTCGGTTCAGTGTCAAGGTGTCAAACCAGATGACCACTGCTGCTATTCCTGGGAAAGGGCCTGTTGGGCGGACCAGGGAACTATGTAGCATTAGCTCCCATGGTTGCCTGAGCAGAGTTTGAGACCCAGAAGGAAGCCTTCCACTGGCCAGAGCAGATTTTCTGGGAAGCTTGTAAACCTAAACCTGCAGGACCCCTCAAGGTCCAGTACATACTTTTGCATTTGTGATTTTATAGTCTTTACTTTTGAGAGGATCCCCCAAATGACATTAGCTTCAAACTCCATCTAACCTGGATCCACCCCGTCCAGAGCTCCTTCCTTCTCTCACAAGCAGGACTCCTCCCTCCCTATTCCTGGGGCATCTATTCTTTCCTAAGTGCTCCTTCAAAGGCCAGGTTTCTTGGTCCTGAGTGTCCCCCTCATCTGTCACCTTAATCGTCACCTTCTGAACTTCAAAGCAGTGTTCCGCAGGAAGGTAGACTGGGTGTCTTGGGTCTCCAAGGGTGTTCAAACGTTTCGGGAAGCCAAGGGGGAGAAACACATTTATCAGTCATCAGACCTCAAAGGTCTGAAATGTCAACTGGAGCTGCACACGGCTGCATTGTACCTGCTCACTCGGGGACACCGAGTGCTGTGCTCCTCAGAAGCCTGACTGGCAAACACATTCATCTATGATTAATTAGAACATGGAGAAACACGGTCATCTTAATGGGTCATTAAAAAAAAAAGTCATTTAATTGCTTGGAGACCAAATCTTTCAAAAGCAAATGTTTAGGGAGAGGCTCTTGGAAACAAAAATACTGAGAATCACTCCTTTAAACCTTCAGTCTCCAGAACAATTAGCCTCTTCAAAAGCTGAACAGATCCCAGAGCCAGGAGCAAGCAGCCCTGAGCACATTAGGTGAGATGGAGCAGAAAACACACACCCTCGCTGCAGGACTATCCCTCCCAGCGTGGGGCTCCCGAAGGCTCTCGTGGAGGGAGGGAAACTGATGGGTTTTATTCTAATGAAGGGATCATTGAATGGCTCCTGCAAAAATCCCCCTGCTACCCTGGACTCTGCTCACACAGCCCGATTCCCCAGGCGGTAGGAGAGGCTGTCTGCCTGTGGCATCTGGTTTAAGAATAGTTCATCTTTCAAAAAAAACTCCCATCTTAGCCCGTCTCTCAGCCCCACGTTATCTACTCTGGAAATGTTCATTGGCCAGCAGAAAAGAGCAGGAGAAGAAAAGTGAGGGAGGAAAGTAAAAGAGAGGAGCAGAGTTAGATGAGAAAAGGGAAAAGGGGGTATGACCAGTGCCACCTGAAGAACAGCAAGGTCTGTGAGAGAGCTATGGCCACGAAGCCAAGGGTATCCTTTAGAAACCCTCAGGAAAGGAAAAAGTGCCTTCCCTACAAACGTAAGATGCCTCGTCCTTTCCAGGTCTTCTCTCCCCCTCCCCCTTCATTTCCAGAACCCACTTCTCCAACACATGATTCTAGTCTTCCAGCCAATCTGGGGGAGTCCTATGAGATGACTTTGGCCTTTCAGGCTCGTGATGGGGTTTTGCAAAACCCAAACGATACATAGACATGGATCAACTGATTCCTCAGATACTACCACCTGGGGCAAATGTGGGCCAGCTGTTGAACACCTGGACCACATCAGCACTCAGCGCCAGAGGTGGAGCAGAGGCTGCAATTCAATGAGATAAAGAGGAGCCTCCTGGGCCAGACAAGCACAATGAGAGCCTGGCAGAGCCCACTGAAGCATCAGCACTGGTCCTTGGCCTGGCTTTTCTTCGCCTTTCCAGTTTTATTATAAATACACTCATACAACAATAAGTACCACTCTACTTTTGTATAACACTTTATAATTTAAGCATTTCCCATGCACTATCCCACTGGATCCCTCAGCATTTAAAATTGTTTAAAAACTAGCTAATGTCAAATGTATTTATAATTTTCCCCGCCCAACCCACATATTTTCCACAAACACTGTCTATCGCTTTCTAATAAATGCAGCACATGCAAAAAAAAAAAAAAAAATCCTTTCACCTTTTTCTCTGTTTTTTCTAAAGTAGTCTTTCCTCTTCTGGCCAGTTCTCTTGACACCATTATTTTGGGTTTTTGCAATTTTGCTTTCCTGTCTACATCCCCAAGATTGTAATCCTTTGTTCCCTTTTCCACTTACCTCTGGAAAAATGTTTGTTCTTTGCACCTGTGGCTTGCCCCTTACCTCCTCCTCCCACACTTATTTAGCCAACTGTCTGCAAATTCTTTCCTGACCGGAGGACAATTAGAGGCACAAAAATAGTGCTGCTGCATCACCTCCTACGTACATCCTCTCCCTGCAGCCACCTTCTGCTCCTAAATCTTATACTGTCTTGAATCCAACGCTTCCATTACTAGCCAGGTGACCTTGAGAAAGTTATTTAACCTCTCTGAACCTCAGTTCTCTAACTGTAAATCAGGATACTAGGAGAACTGACCTCATATGACTGAGGCTTAAAGAGGTAATGACGCCTGAAGTGCAGTACTGTGAGGACACTTAACTGTGGAATCACAAGACCTATGTTTAATTACAGCTTTTGCCTCCTTGGGCAGACGTTTATTACGATCTCATTTTGCATGTGCATAAAATGAGGATAATGAAAATCTTCTCTACCCATCAATCAACATGGTTGTAAGGATAAAATGGAAAGAGTATAAAAGTGCCTTCCTAACTAAAACATGACAAACTGACACAATTATTACTGATAAGGCATTCATAGCATACTATGTTTTGTCCTACTTTAAAAAATGTCCTGTACCTTCCTAAGGAGCTTTTTAAAAAAACAGTAATAAAACACAAATATAAAATTTATCACTTAACCATTTTGAAGTGTGCTAAGTATATTTCAAATTGTTGTGCAACCAACCTCCAGAACTTTTTCATCTTAAAAAACTGAGGGAGCATTTTAAATGTCCTTATCCCTAGAACAACAGCATCTACTGTATAAAGATCTATTTCCTTGTTGAGATTTCTTTCTTAAGCCCTCAAGGCTAAGGTGGGTCATTGAATTTGTTCTGAGGCAGCCAGCAGAAGATGTTTTAAAGTGAAGAGCTGTCTGGGGCTTCCCTGGTGGCGCAGTGGTTGAGAATCCGCCTGCCAATGCAAGGGACATGGGTTCAAGCCCTGGTCCGGGAAGATCTCACAGGCCGCAGAGCAGCTAAGCCCATGTGCCACAGCTACTGAGTCTGCACTCTAGAGCCCGTGAGCCACAACTACTGAGGCCACGTGCCACAACTACTGAAGCCCGCACGCCTAGAGCCCATGCTCCGCAACAAGAGAAGCCACTGCAATGAGAAGCCTGTGCACCGCAACGAAGAGTAGCCCCCACTCACCACAACTAGAGAAAGCCCACACGCAGCAACAAAGACCCAACGCAGCCAAAAATGTAAAAAAAAAAAAAAAGAGAGCTGTCTTTTAAAAGATCAGTGGTTACCAGAGGTTGTAGTTTTGGGGGAGGGGGAGGGGGACTCTGCAGTCTGATTGTCTGCGATTGGATCCTGCTTCTATATAATTGTGGTCAAAGTTACTCTCTGTGTCTCAATTTTCTTATCTTTATAATGGGTATAGATTTTACCACAAAGAATTTTTGTGAGGATATAACAATTGAGAATAATGGACAAGGAATTTCCTCCCAGAAAGCAGATCTAGGGCCTGCCAGATTGGTTTTACTTTACTGCCAGGGCAAGATGTTCCCTCTTTTTCTGATCAGTAGGGTTTGATATATTCTATGGTCCAGTGTGAATTCCCTACTTTCCCTTTGTCTGAGTTAGGTTGGAGTTTTTATTGTGGTTATTGGTTTCCTCCATACCTTTGTATATCATGTATATGGGGGCAGATAAGCTGTCTTTTCAACCTACAGACTGTGGTCCTGCGAGGCACACACAGACCCAGTGGGGAGCTCTGCACAGTGACCAGAGATCCTGGACTTTGAACTGGATGAGGCTTTGGGTTTTCTTCCTTGGCAATGGAGAGTGAGAATATGTAAAAGAATAGGAGACCTTGGGTGCTGAGGAGCCAAAGGAGTAATTATGACAGATATCATTCAATAGCTCATCAGTATTCATTTTAAATTACCTTACCTTGTTCCTTTCCCAGTGCAGAGGTAAAGACACAGTTCTCCATTTCCCAGCTTCCTTACAGCGGCAGTGACATGTAATGCAGTCTGGTCCATGAAATGTAGGTGAAAGTCTACTGGAGAAGTCTTAGCTTCCTGAGTGAAAAGAAAGACTTGTAAGGAGAAAGCCCTTCATTGTTTCTTTTTTTTTTTTTCTTTTTAAAAAATTTTTATTGGGATACAGTTGATTTACAATGTTGTGTTAGTTTCAGGTGTACAGCAAAGTGAATCATTTACACATATATCTACTTTTTTTTAGACTCTTTTCCCACATAGGCCATTACAGAGTATCGAGTAGAGTTCCCTGTGTTATGCAGAAGGTCCTTATTAGTTATCTATTTTATATATAGTAGTGTGTATATGTCAATTCCAATCTCCCAATTTACCCCTCCCCGACTTCATCATTTCTTCTTCTCACTGCCTTAAACATGGATGCAAGGCTACAACGTCATGGTTGCAACCACGAGGCAACAAGCCAGAACATGTAAGCCGGGAGGCCAAAGATGGAGGAAAGGAAAGAAAGTGCCCAAGTCCCCAGTGGAATGATTGAGCAACTGCTTCCCCGACCCACCTACATCTCCACTACTTGAAATGTGAACCTCCTATTTGTTTATGCCATAGCAGGCTCTCTCTCTCTTTTTTTTTTTTTTTTTTTTTTTTTGCTGTTGATTGTAATCCTAGCTTATATAAGAGCAGGGGTATTAAACTTTTTTTGTTTTAATTTAATAACTATCCCCTGAGAATGGGGTTCCTTGAAGCGTCAGGGGATGTGGGAAGAGTTGTCTATTTGCACGGTGAAGAACTTAGGTGAAGGTGATTCTGGGCCTGAAACAGAGAGCATTCTCTTCACTCAGGGGCTGTGAGCTTTAGTAGAGGATGAGAAATTTGTCTCTCATGCAAGAGTTAATTTACAGACAAGAGGCTCCTTGGAAGATGGCCAATGTGACCCTTTTGAGACTAGGCCCAAGACATAGTGTAGAACAATGGATTCGCAGAATAACACTCGGACTGACCAACTCCTGATTGTATTTCAGGAAGATGTGACAAGATGGAGTTAAGTTGAGCTGTAGATACTAGGATATCGCATGCTCATTAAACTAAACTTTAGTTACCTATGTTGATAAATTACTGCATTTGTGAGCATTGGGGGAAAGAGGATTGGGTTTCCTTTCCTCAAATATTCTTGGTCTTCTTTATACGTTTCACTTGAAAGGTGTCAATTGTTTCTCTTTGCACAAACAGAAAAATTCATGCTCTGAAGATAGGCAAGGTGCTGCTAATGGCCCTCCTAGGCAAAGAAGTGGGGAGAAGCCAGCTGAACTGGAGCAGAGATGTGGAAACTCTAAGGATAGGAAGGCCGCAGAGATTCCGTGTTCATCCCAAGTTTTCACCAGCGTTCTTTCCTTGAACAATTGATTTCCTTCCCAATAGCTGTACATTAAATTAAATTGACACCATTTGGCTGCACCCTTTCGTCATTTTACCATTTTTCCATACTTCTCTACATTTGTGGGAAATTGTGTGGCCCTCAGCAGTAAGGTTACAGGACTCTGGAGCATGGCCCCTTTCATCAGCCTGATGGTTGCTGCTTTCTTGAACAGTGATGTCTCTTGCGACGACTTGCAGCTCTTGGAAGGCAGATACATTCTGGACCTTTCCCTCCTATGTGCCACTTGCCATCTTTCTCTTTGTTCTTTTTCTTAATTAACCTTCTCTATATTCACTCATCTCCATGACCCTGTTTATGGAAACTTCCCTCATTTGTTCTTTGATTTTTGCTATTTCTGTCCCTCTTTCTTCACCTTTACAGGGGAAACATACTCTACATTGATCACTCCTGAGCAAGAGGAGAGTTATTCTCTTATTTAAAGTCCCCGGCTTGGTGCCTCCCTTTGAACATTTTTAAAATATATTTTTAACATGTCCTATTTCTTCATGGCATCTTGAAGAGGGAGCAAGTCTCCTCTCCCCTTAATGATCCCTTTCATAGTTCTACTTTCTTCCTGTTCCAATAGGAATTTGCATATGCTCTATTTGATCTTGCCAAGTTTCCAAGATTTTGAGAATTCCATTTTGATCAGGAGAGAGAATCTTGGTCATCACCCCACTTCCTTAAGCCATGTGACTTTGGGTCATTCACTTGGCTCTGTGCACCTCTGCTTTTCCATTTTCATAAAAGGATAAAAATACTTTACCGTAAGGCAAAGTGATGGATAAGATAACTTCTCAAGCACCTTTACTGCTTTAAGACCCGGACTTCTATGATTGGAAAAGAGATGGCTTTTGTTTTGTAATAACCTTTATTTCATGATTATCCTGTCCTTTTTATTAGCCATTTCTCTCTCACTTTTCTTTCAGTAAGTTTAGGTCAGATTATTGGGATAATGAAGCTACTGTAGCACTTATAGTGTTCAAATACTTTTAATATGCATTAGCTAGCTTTGTTCCATTGCTAGTACACATAACTAACGAGCCTTAAATTCTGCATCCTTAAAAATTATCACATAAATTACGATCATGCTATGCTTCCTCTCTGTTACTCCACTTTCCCCCATAAGATTATATCAGGAACTGATTGCAAAGTTCATATATGAACCTTTACCTTATTCCTTTTTTTAAAATAAATTTATTTATTTTATTTATTTATTTTTGGCTGCACTGGGTCTTCACTGCTGCTCGCGGGCTTTCTCTAGTTGCAGCAAGCGGGGGCTACTCTTCGTTGTGGTGCACAGGCTTCTCATTGCGGTGGCTTCTCTTATTGTGGAGCACAGGCTCTAGGCACGCAGGCTTCCATAGTTGTGGCATGTGACCTCAGTAGTTGTGGCTCGCGGGCTCAGTAGTTGTGGTTCGCAGGCTCCAGAGCGCAGGCTCAGCAGCTGTGGCGCACGGGCCCAGCTGCTCCGTGGCATGTGGGATCTTCCTGGACCAGGGCTCGAAACCACATCCCCTGCATTGGCAGGTGGGCTCTCAATCACTGCACCACCAGGGAAGCCCTACCTTATTCTTTTTAATGGCTGCATAATATTCAATTGTATGGATGTACCATAATATATCTAATCAACCTCCTAAAAATGAGATAATTAGATTTTCAGTTTTTTGCTATCATAAATAATACTGCAATGAATATGATTGTACATATATATTCATGCAATTATTTCTGTAAGATATTTTCCAAGATGTAGGATCACTGCTTCTAGGATATGCTTACTCTTAGTTTAATAGCACAGAGTCCAAAATCTTTCCATCCATATATTACTTTTTAACATCTGGCTGTCCCTCTTCCTCATGACAACTGAATTCTTCTCTATTTAAAATATGGCATTGTCCTGAAATAGATATGTTCTTCCTTCGATAAAAAAAATTCTAATTCTGAAAGTTTATAGAAATAATTAATGATGAATACAGAGATCAGCTATAAGGACTTTAACAAAATTGTTATCATTATTAGTATGTACCTATTATGTGCCAGGCACTGTATAAAATGTTTAAAATATATCATTTCACTTAATTCTAACAACAAGTTTTAGTGTATGTATATTATTAAACTCATTCCACAGATGAAGAAACTGAGCCTTAAAGAGATTAACTTTCCCAAAGGTATACAGTCAACATGCAAGGAATCTGGGAGCTGAACTTAGAAGTCTTGTCACTGGAATCCACAGGTTTAACCTTGACATCAACTCCCTATATCACAGTATGCAGTAAAGAAATGTTGGAAATAGTCTAACTATCCAAAAATAAAGGAATAGTTAAATAAATATGATATACTTTTACAATAAATATTGTATGTAGCCATTAAAATTGCTGCTCAACTTTATTTATTGTTCCTATACAACAATATATTCCTGACATGGTTATTTAATAAGACATTGCAAAATGGCATGAAGATGAGCCCATATTTGTTTTTTAAAAAAGGTGAGTGAACTTAGTTCCTTCAATATGCACAGAAGAATTAGAAGAATGTTTGCAAGATTACCTTTGGGTTGGTAGGATTGAGAGTATTTTTAATATTATTGGGTTGGCCAAAAAGTTCGTTCCGGTTTTTCCATAGGATGTTACAGAAAAGTCCGAATCGGGCTTACCTGATGGCTCAGTGGTTAAGAATCCGCCTGCCAATGCAGGGGACATGGGGTTCGAGCCCTAGTCCAGGAAGATGCTACATGCCACTGAGCAACTGAGCCTGTGCGCCACAACTACTGAGCCTGCGCTCTAGAGCCCGCAAGCCACAACTACTGAGCCCATGTGCCACAACTACTGAAGCCCACACACCTAGAGTCCATGCTGCACAACAAGAGAAGCCACCGCAATAAGAAGCCTGAGTACCGCAACCAAGAGTAGCCCTTGCTCGCCGCAACTTGAGAAAGCCCGCATGCAGAAACGAAGACCGAATGCAGCCATAAATAAATAAAAAATTTATATTAAAAAAAAAAAAGTCCGAGTGAACTTTTTGGCCAACCCAATATCTTTTGGGTTTATTTCTTCTGATTACTTTTCTATAATGATCATATATTACTTTTGTAATAAGATTAAAATGAAGGCTTTAAAAATAATAAAAAAGAGATTCAGTTTTGCTACAGAGGTGTTTTTGTTTTTACATATTGCAGAAGGAGATTGGATATTATTGAAATGGGTTTGAATTTTTAATAAATTTATTTCACCTATTTGATATTTCAGCTTGTTTCAGGTATTACCTGTAAACTGATATAAAATAACCAACATTTTCCTTTTGCTCCTTTTGGGAAAGTCATGAATATTTGCAAGTCAGTCCTTTTACTTTCCCTTTCACTCTTTTACTTTCTCTTTCACATTTGTTCATCTTTCCAACCAGCTCCCATAGCTTTTGAAAATCCACATTCCTCTCACAGTCTTACCTCTACTTCTGGAGATGTTGGGCTCTAATACACCTTTAGCTTAACACCCCTGTCTCCTGACACTATAGAGTTCCTGTGGAGCCTCTGTATTCATTTTGTAGGAAGCTAATTACAGCAACTATACATATTTAACTAGGGTTTTACAGTTTAAACGTGCTTTTGCATGCATAATCTCATTTGATTTTCCCTGTAGGTCTTTATAGGAAGTAGGGAAAACCTCATGAACCCCATTTTGCCTAAGAGAAAACTGAGCTTCATCAAGCTTGACTTCACTAAAGCCACACACCTAGCAAGCTGGCAACGCTGGAAGCAAAACCTAGGTCTCCCGATTCCAGGCTCTTTATTCCAAGTTCCTCTTTCTCTCTACATTCTATAATATCTCTGAATAGCTATCAAAGGCCACCAGCTAGATGGCAAATATTCCCTAGATCTAAAGTCTTATACCTTAATTGGGTGAACAGATCTTTTTAACACATCCAAAATGGAACCCAGGCAGTGAGGCTAATCACTGTAGCAATGGGTAAAAAGGCCACTCTTGTCCCAGACACAGGGCCAGCATAGAGCTATCCATGGTCCTGAGATTACTGCCCTGAGCCCATGCTGACCCCTTGGGCTCTCGCCCATCTGACTTGTTCATTACTTGTCCATTATTGCACCATTTATTCATTTGAATCTCATTGACTATTCTGTCTCACATTGCCTCTATTTCTCTCCTTGGTTATCATTTCTGCGGGTCTCAGGGTCAGTAGTGCCTACTGGTCCAGAGCTCCAAGAAAACCTTTCCCTGCATGACTGTCATCCTTGAATCCAGGAGTAAAGCCAGGTCCTTGATAAATAATGAATTTCTCTCATCTTCATCGTCAAAAAATTTAAATCAACCAGCATGAAAATTTTCTCTTTAGCCTTCCTCATATTTATGCCCTTTGCTCTGTATCTGCTTTCAGTCCTGCTTTACCAAAACTTGTGCTGATGCCTTTCTCCTTCAAGTCTTTTTTATTTTTCTCTTAAATTTGCCTTGTTTGTCTCTTCCTTGCTTCTCAGGCTTTATGCAATGCTTTACTTCTATTGCCACTTCCTACTTCTGGGTTCTTGGTTCCATCAATAGTTAACCAATATGCTTCTTAGTTTTAATTTGTCTTATCTGGCTCAGTGTTTGTCAAAGAATGACCAGAGTATATCTGAATTAAAGTTCTCTGTGGTTATCACTAACATTTAGATTTCTGGGCTCCATCTCTGGCTGATTCTTCTGCTTTGGCCTGGGGCCGTTTTCCTTCTGGTTTACCTTGTATCGGCTGGGAAATCCCCATCTCCAACAAAGTCCTGGCCAGCACACAAGAAAGTGGATCTGAGCTCTGCCTCTCAAGACCCCACACAGTCATTCCTATCAGTAGCTATTTCTGCTCTGCCACTCTCTGGCCCCAGCAGACTGTGCATGGCTGGTGAGCGCACTATGTTCTCACATGTATCCCCTCCTGCCCTTCCTTCCTTCTCACCCTCCTCTTTGTCCCCCACCTCACCCCCACTTCTCCTTATTGCTCTTCTTGGGTAGCCTGCCTGAATTGCTCTGGTGTTTTCTATAGCTCTAGTGTATAAATAGTTCCAGTATTACTATAGTATTTCCTCACTCTTCTCTTTTTTATTATTTCTGGGGGATACACATTTTCATCTGAGAAGGTACCATTTATAAGACAAAGCTAGTTTGGTTCTAATGATAAAGTTGTGAGAGAAATGAAATATGTATTATCATTCCTTTCTTACATGGAACCTGAGATCTGGAAAACTTTATGTTCAAGGTCAGTGGCAGAAGTAATACTAGAAACATGGTCTCAAGACTTTTGTATAACAATTCCATTCCACAAATACTTCCTGAGTCTCTACTATGGGCAAAGCATTGAATTAGCCACTAGAGATTCAAACATGGAGAAAAACTGCCCTCTCTGGCTTCACGAACCTTCCAGTGGTAACGAAGAAGTTAAGAAATGCCCAAATAACATAGCACCAGGAGGTGTGTGCAGTGCTTCAAGCTCTTATACATTTACTTATGAAGTATGAGAACCTATAGGAGGGAAGAAATGCTTTTATGCTTTTAACTAGGCGGTAAGGAGAGATGGCACAGGGAGGAATTCTCGGGCATGTCGAGTTTGATGCGGGCATTGAAAACCATGTGAGAATTTCCGGTGGCAGTACATTGCATGTTTGAAGAATGTTCTGGGGATTTCAAGCACGGAGTTGAGAGATTTGAGAAGTAAGTTTAGGGAGATAACTGAGGCCACATCATGTAAGGGCTTCAATGTCAAACTAACTTGGAGGTGGGTGGGGAAGTCTATGGCTCTTATCGTTAGACCAGGCTGCCTTCACACATGCATGGGATAAACACGGTATCTGAAGTATCATTTTACAAATAATAGCACAGATTCAGGCACATGAAATGAAGAATTTACCCAAATGGAGGATGAGACAAGTACAAGTGTCCCTGAGCAAGGTGGTGGCAGCCATCCTGAGCATCAAGTGATGACTCAACACTCCAAGAGTGGCCCTGGAGAGGGCAGGCCCTCCGTCTCAAAGAGAGAGCTGATACATGCTGCCCAGGGCTGGTGTTGGCTTTCTGATGGGTGTTCTGAGTCTGAACTATAGCATTTATGGCCTGAATCTTGGGATCTTTTTGTGTCTTTCACATTGTAGTAGTGGTAAATAAAAATTCCTATAAATGCTTCAAGCCACTTAGGCAGTGAAATGGGGGAGTGTGGAGAAAGGTGATGTTTAAGTACAAGGCAAAGAGCTGACTTTCCTAAAGCATGTATTAGCAGCATGTGGCTAAAAATAGCCACCTGTTCCATGTCGGATTCCAAATTGGAAGAGCTCTTTACATACCAGATTCAAAAAAGCATCTGTCTCCCGGTAGCCATGGAAACAGGCATCCCTGAATAAATGTGGAGAGATGTTTTCAGAATGTGGCTGGGAAAGGAAGTGGACAAGACAGCCTCTGGATAAGGGGTGAGACTTTCTGTTCCTCCCCTGAGTTGAAGCCTTATCTTTCTTTCCTACTTCCCAGCCCTTCTAATTTTGCACAGTCATTGGTTCTTGTCTTCTCTGAAGAAATATCTTCTATAGTTAGTGCCTGTCCAATGGGCTAGACAGGGAGAGGAGATGGGGAGAAGGGTCAGACATTCCCACTGGCATGAAGAGATGGGATGGGAGGCCAAGCTGCTTGGGCTCAGAATCTCATGTATGCTATATTGTTTTGCTGTTTGCATATTTCCTTTGTCAATGGTCCCCTTAAAAAACGTATTTGTCCCTTCATGTTAACTATATTAAGCGCTGTGGGCCTGTCTTCTTGTTTCTACTGCTTTGTATCCTTTGTCAACTCCTTGAGGGCAGGGAGTCCTCTTTCTAATTCCACTTACAGCATGAAAACACTCCTCCAGTCTGTCAGTGTTGCTTGCACAATACAGCAGCATAAAATTCTCTTAGGACTCAGAGTCCTACCCCAAAGCCATATTTAGCTTTCCACCTGCCAATTCTTAGAATCCCCAATTCTGACAAATGGTTGAATTGTATTAAGCAGGACTCTGTTGTTACAGGTCCTCCTTGAAGACAATTGTAAGTTATAAGTAAGACCACTCCAAACCACTGCTCACAGTAAATGCTCTTAAGTGTATGAATGAACGTAAATGACTAAAGACGCTTGGGATGACCTTGGTGATGAGGGCAGAAATGTAAGGAAGAAAAAGAAGCCAGCATTCGCTGAGTGTGTTCTCTCAGGGAGAGAACACACTCTGCCTGAATAAGAGAGACATTTGGCCCCTGGAGAGAGAGGATTAAAATCAGATTACTAGTCAGGTGAGGAGTCACCAGATGCTTCCTGAAGACGTAGCCAGGAGTCCCTGCAGCATCCATCGGATCTTCACTGTACAAAATCTGCAAACTATCTAGATTCCTCTAGGAAGAACTCTCCACAAGCACATAGTTCTAGATCCTGGCTAATAAGGCTGTTGAGCATCTCTTTTCCCTGGTATTGTCCTCATTGCCCTCTTTCTTACCTGATTGAAGAAAATAAGATATTTATTGAGTATCTACACCTATGTGTCCCCCACAGTGCATGAAGCTCCAGGCTTGGCAGGCATGGGACCGTTCATTCATTCGCTCACTCATTTAACAAATCCCTCCTGAGAGCTACCATGTGCTGGGTGCTACATGGTCCCTGTCCTCATGGACCTTGCCTTAGGGAAAGGATGGGACATCACTGTTATTGTGGTGATGGCTCCTGACGATGATGATAATCGCCCCAGCTATGCAAGAGCAGTGCACAAGGCAGCCCAGTTTAATGCGTAAGTATACTGACTATATTTTCTTACCTTCTCTGTTCTTGATGCTCTGGCATATGGGGCCCAGCTGATCCTGCAGAGAGACAGCAAATAACTCCCCTGTGAGGGTGCCTATCATATGCAAACCTACCAATCCAGAGCCCGGAGCTGCCTACTACCTCCTTTATGGAGCTCTCACAGGTTGAGCCACTATCTCCTGCCATAATCCCCCAGGGCCAGGTACCAGGCAACTAGGGGCAGCCCCTACACCTGTGAGCGCCCTGAAATTACTCAAACTAGTCAATCCTAGACCCGTGTGGCCTGCTTACCCTGTTTCACCCATTCCTTCCCAGGAAAATTGCAATAAAGGCTCTTTCCCATGCTTTCCCCTCACTCCTTTGCCTCCTGACCAATCCTGGGGCTTCCTGTGTGGCCCTGCATGGTGTGGAGTGCCCCCTCCTCTTGAGAACTGTAACAAACTATCTTTTCAACAGCGATCGTCTCCTGGTCTGTTGGTCTCATCATACCTGAATAATAATAAAAACTACGTTTTGAAACAATAAGAGCTCAAACTCTGGAGTCAGGTCTCCTGGATTCAAAGTCATCTCCATCATTTACTGGCTATGGGATACAGTCTCAATTTTTCATTTCTACAACAGAAACAATAATATCTAACCTGTTGGGCTGTTAGGAGGATTAAATGAAATAACCCATATAAAGCACTTAACCTACAGTAACTGCCATATGTGAATGCTAAATAAACATGAGACCTAGATTTATATTTGGGAGCAAAAAGAAGGCAGAGCTCATGCCTTTTTGAAGTCTGTAATCAATGGAACATTCTAGAATCTCCAGAGCCTTCCTATTCCTTATCTTTTCTGGTCCTTATAGCTCTGAGAAGATGGATGGGTAGGTGGGGCACCCATGTTTTACAGACAAAGAAATTGAGACTAAAAGGGCACTAGCTAGTCAGTGGAAAAGGTTGGACTAGAATCCAGCTCTCCTGACAACTAGTTCTTTCTCCCAGGCCAGATGTGGTGCGTATGAAGACTTGGCAGTCAGACAGACCAGGCTTAAAAGCCAGCTCCACCACTTCTAAACCTTGCACATGCTGAGGCAAGTTGGAGATCTCTAAGCTTCCATTTCATCAACTGTTGAAAAGGGAAAAATGATTTTTTCACTTATTATTTAACTGAGATTTTTTAGAGGAAATTTAACCAAAGCTGGTTAGGGCATGGGGAAATGAGCACTCGCCTATACTAAGAGCTCTCTTATTTTCCTACAAAGAGAATCTCAAATACTAAAAAAGCTTTCTGCACAGGCTTGTTCATCCCAATGTTACTATCTAAATATAATTTGAAAGCAAATGACGTATTCAATAACAGGGAAATAGATAAATAAATTGTAGTATATCCACAGAATGGGATAATATACTGCCATTAAAAATGATGTTTAGGGCTTCCCTGGTGGCGCAGTGGTTGAGAATCTGCCTGCCAATGCAGGGGACACGGGTTCGAGTCCTGGTCTGGGAAGATCCCACATGCCGCAGAGCAACTAGGCCCGTGAGCCACAACTACTGAGCCTGCGCGTCTGGAGCCTGTGCTCCGCAACAAGAGAGGCCGCGCACCGCGATGGAGAGTGGCCCCCGCTTGCCGCAACTAGAGAAAGCCCTCGCACAGAAACAAGACCCAATACAGCCATAAATAAACAAATAAAAACGATGTTTACTAATAAGAGCCTGCTGTATAGCACAGAACTCCACTTTGCTGTACAGTAGAAACTAACACAACATTGTAAAACAACTGTACCCCAATTAAAACAAAGAAACCCCGATGTTTACAAAGTTCATGACAAAAACTGTATTCACAATTAGGTCAATAAATCACGCCTCATGTTGTTTCATTTTCATCAAAGTCACGCAAAGATTAAAGAGGCAAATAGTGCAACAAGCCTTGCTGGAGAAAACAACAGTTACCCCCCTCATTCCCATTTCCCAGATGCAACTATTTTCAACTCCTTTAGCTGATTATTTGGTATGTTCTTTTTTACGTCTAAGTAGTAATATTTTCTTGCTCCTTCTTGATTTTTTTAAACTCAGAGAAAGAGGCCAGAAAGAGACGAGGTCTCCCTCTGCCTCTTTTATCGATTTCACTTCGCTGGAATAATTTCTTACCAAAGTGCCCATCCCTCAGGAATGTCGTAGATGTTCTCACTCCACCATATAAAATGTACAAGTAAGAAGCAAGCATTTCTGTCCTAATGTTTGCAAAGTATGACGTAACATGGGAGATATGTTTCTATTTTAATATTGAGTGAAAAGGGATTTCACTTAGTGTGGTTCCAATTATATACCCATGAATAAAGGGTCAGGAGGAAAACAACCACTACTATATTGAAGGTAGTTTCTGGATGGAAGAATTACGGGTGATGTTTTTCTTTCTTTTTTTCATATTTTCCAAAATTTCTACGATGATCATTTCTTTTATTGTGGATAAAAATCTTTGGTTCTAAAAAGATGAAAATCCTATTTACTTCTGTTTTTTTTTTTTTTTTTTTTTGCGGAACGCGGGCCTCTCACTGTTGTGGCCTCTCCCGTTGCGGAGCACAGGCTCCGGACGCGCAGGCTCAGCGGCCACGGCTCACGGGCCCAGCCGCTCCGCGGCATGTGGGATCTTCCCGGACCGGGGCACGAACCCGTGTCCCCTGCATCGGCAGGCGGACTCTCAACCACTGTGCCACCAGGGAAGCCCCTATTTCTTACAATTGTTGTAAGGCCATACTCACATGGAGCCTGGTACACATTAACTGGGGACCCCAGGAATGGCAGTTTCCTTTCCTCTGACCACTCCTGTGGCCTCTGCTCCTTGTGGAGTGGATGGAGAGGTGGACACTTGTAGTCAGATCCAGGAATGGACCATCGGAAGGCCATGGAACTGCTATTGGAATTTGACTCAGCAGCATCTGGTTAGAAAACCCAAAAAGAAAGAAAAGGGACCCTCCTACCCGGCTGGTGGGAATGTGAATTGGTGCAGCCACTATGGAGAACAGTATGGTGGTTCCTTAAAAAACTACAAATAGAGCTACCATATGACCCAGCAATCCCACTCCTGGGCATATATCCAGAAAAGACAAAAATGCTAATTTGAAAAGATACATGCACCCCGTGTTCACTGCAGCACTATGTACAATAGCCAAGACATGGAAGCCACCTAAAAGTTCATCCACAGATGACTGGATAAAGATGTGGTGCACATATACAATGGAATACTCCTCAGCCATAAAAAGAAAGAAATAATGTCATTTGCTGCAATATGGATGGACCTAAGAGATTATCACACTAAGTCAGACAAAGACAAATATCACATGACATCACTTCCATGTGGAATCTAAAAAAATGATACAAATGAACTTATTTACAAAACAGAAATAGACTCTCAGACATAGAAAACAAAGTTATGGTTACCAAAGGGGAAAGTGGGGGAGGGATAAATTGGCAATTTGGGATTAACAGATATACACTACTATATATAAAATAGATAAACAACAAGGACATACTGTATAGCACAGGAAACTATATTCAATATCTTCTAATAATCTATAATGGAAAAGAATCTGAAAAAGAATATGTATATGTATTATATATATGTGTGTGTGTATATATATATATATATATATATACACACACACAACTGAATCACTTTGCTGTGCACCTGAAACATTACAAACCAACTATACTTCAATAAAAAAGGAATCAATCCAAAACAGAAAATTTAATAATATTTTCTCTTTTAAAAAAGTAAGAAAAAAAAAAGAAAACCCAGAAAGACTTCAGGGTCCAGAGTGTGGGCATGGCCAAGAGGAGGCCTCAGCCACCCAGACCCAGGTCCACCCCAACGTACTGGTGACTCAGCCCAGCACTGGCAGCTGGGGAGGGAGGAACAGGCCTGGGCAGGGGAAGGGCTGAGGTTTGTGGGGGAGAGGATTGGCTGAGAATGGGGTGCATGGAAAGGGGTGCAAAGGAAGTTAATACTAACAAGGCTCCTCAGGCCCCAAAGAGGAATAGGCAGCTCAGTGTCTCCGTTTGGGTTTCCCCCAGAAGCAAACCCTGAGGCAAGAATTCAAGGGCAAGGAGTTCATTTAGCAAGAGCAGGAAACACTGAAGAAGTGCAGCAGGGACGGGGCAGCCGACAAAGGGGTCATATTAAGCAGCTACTACTGTGGGCGACCGGAGCATAATCTTATGGGGAAATTCTGGGAAATGGTGTGGAGCACACACCTGGCTCTCTCCCGTCGAGGGGTGAGGATGACAGGCCATGATACACAGTCCCCTTCTGTCGCTGGTTGAGGGCTGCTCCTGGGGGACATTGATTCCCTGGCATTATTGGCCTGGTGTGCATGCCCAGAGCAGCTTTCTGTGGCTTCTGAAAAACTCAAGCGAATCGCAGCCTGAGGGAGAGGAGCACGCTGACGTGGTAAGGCCGAGGGGGCAGGCCCTACTGCCCTTGGGTGGAAGGTACCACTTCCCACCCAACGGGTTAGTAAAAGTTGTTTTTCCTCCCTGTAGGATGGTCATATAATTTATTATCCAAACTAGGACACTTACAAAGTGAAAGGGGACACTATTAAACTTGATGCTGGGACAACAGGTATAGATGGGGACAGTCCAAGCACACCAGGTATAGTCACACCATCTCTCTGGATGTCCTCCTGACCTGGGACAGTAAACTCTCTCCCTTTTGCTTTTATGTAAACAAGCCCCAAAGTGACAAAAACAACTCAGGGAAAGGGTAGCTAAAGTATTAACTAATGTTGCTGGATATATAACAAAGACTAGGGAAGATGTAAGAGAGTCATTCATTTATTCATTCGCTCACTCATTCATCAAACACTAAGAATCTACTCTGTCCCAGGCACTGCTCTAGACTTGGGGGCCACAGAGATGATGAAGACAGAATTCCTGCCCACAAGAGATTTATCATCTAGCTGTGGAGACAGATGTACAATCAAATAAATTACAACATAGTGCATGGCTGCAATTGAAACCTTTTCCTAAATCATACATGGATCACAATAATAGCACTGGGAAGAGAGTGA